TCAACTACACAAAGGCAAAAAAAAAAAAAAAAAAAAAAAAAAAAAAAAAAAAAGTAAATGGAGAATGAATGGGAAGCTTTTCCGGGGGGGGCTACTTAAACAATCGGCTTCTCAACGAACCGCTAATTGTCACATGACACTTCGGTAGAAGGAAGTTAATCCCTCGAGAGTTATTCTACACATATAATATGTGATTTAATCGTTACCCAGTTGGTGGCTCCCGTAGTAGCGTCCGCTGTGTGGCTGCTTCCCTTCATTTGTGTCGCTTTCCTCCACCCCCCCTTGATGGATCTCTCCCCCTTGGGCAACTTGGGACGATCCATGCTCACATGAAATGTAAACTGGCGTTGATAGTCCCCTTTTATCATTTACTGGAGCGAATTATACCATCGCGCGCACCTGGAGGGGGACACCGCTTCTGATGTAGCGATGGACAGCGGTTCAGCGGTGTGTCAGCGCACCCATTTGGCGCAAAATAAAATAAAAAAAAAAAAAAAAAAAACGCATGGCATTTTTTGTTCATCCTTATGAGGGATCCTACAAATTCCTGTAGCGCCTTGACATGGCCCTTTCTTTTTTCCACCCCATTTAGCGAGAAAATGAGCAGAAAGGCCTGTCCTCAGCTGCTCCTTTTTTTTTAACTGCGGCTTTCACCTTCATGAACTTGTCACAGTGACACACTTCGCTTCACACCTCTGTGTGTAGCTGTCCCTTTTGCATGCACACGAATCTCTACCTTGCGCTACTCCCTGTGAATATCTTCTACGCAGTACAAAAAGAAAAAAAAAAGAAATTATAAAGGAGACGAAAATTAAGCAGAGGGGGAGGCAGGGGAGACCAATCAAGGTGATACGTCTATCCCTTCTGAGCATTGGTCGGACAACTGACCACCTTGTTGTGTCTCTCCGGGTGTACACGATGATCATTTGAGATACCTCGTTCAGCGATGGATACGGCTGCTTCACCTGGGAAGTAACTCCGGCTCGATAAGCTCGCTCACTAACTGTTCATACCCATTCCGCCTTCATGCACTTAATCCAGTTGATACTCACTTGTTCTTCCTCAGGGATTATTCTCCGTCCGCATCCACGACACAATGTGTACACTTGTTAAAAAGAATTCACAAGAGGCCACCTTCCACTGTTACACCGACACACCCTTTCCTCATCATTCTTCCGAGAAGGAGATTTGATTTGTTCAGGAGACATTTTATTTGTGCATTCATTCATTTAACGTGTGCTTCAGCAGAGCCCGACGATCTACGTGGGGGAAAGAAGTAGGCAGAGAATGTGTAAGGCAGCTAAAAGGTACACGCACGGATAGCGCGTAAAAAAGGTATAGCGACTAGCGTATAACGCATAGCGTATAACGTGTAGCGTAAAACGCACTGTGCGTTGCCGCTAAACCATAGTCGCACGTATTTTACAGATGGCTGGCCAGCGAAAGGTCGGGTTGGGGAGAAACTCGTCGCCAAGAAAAGTGTAGGATATAAAGTGCGCCGCGATGCTCTTCAAGGGTGGCTGCTCAAACTCACGAAGCTTCATTTTAAGTTCCGACAGAGTCACATTAGTTACAAAACAACAGTTACACCTCTGCACAAGGCTGACGCAAAAGGCGTAGTAGGTTTCCAAGGGGTGCACAATTAAACAACCTAAAATGTAAAGGTTCTGAAAAAAGAGCAAATCATTTCCCGTGAGAATAAATTCTGCGCCTTCGCTCCTGTTGTGCATCTGCAGGTGGTGGTAATAACCTTTGTGTGGGTTCTTGCCTAAGGGATCTTCCGTCCCGTGCATTACGTACTCTTCCGGAATGACAATTTTCACCTTATACTTTTTAAATCTGTAGTAATCCATTACCACTTTTATACGATGTGGGTCAAAATATTTTTTATAATTATCCTGGTACCTCGTCCCAATATTTTTTCCATCAAGGATGATCATTTTTTGAACTGTTGAATTTCCCTCTTCTAACATCCACACGGACCCGTTGCGCATATGCTGGGGCTGCTCATGGTTGTGTTGAGACGGGCTTGTATCCCTGTTACACGTTGCAAAGGTGGTGTTCTCCATCTGGTCTTGACCCTTCGGGATGTTACTGACGTTCACCATTTGTGTTTTCGTTTGACCTTGCCCGTTGTGAAGGTGGTTTGTGTGGAAAGGAATTTTTCCCTCTTCGGCCACGTCGTCTACGATGGAGTCTGCCTCGGTTGGAGAACTGGGATAGGACATGTCCTCCGAATTGCCGCCCAAGCTTGCGTCTAAACTGGGGTCCAAACTGCCGTCCACACTACCGTCCACACCGACCTGGTCACTTCCCCTCTTCATCCCGTTTGACGAAGTGCATTTTTCACCCATGACATGGTTGCAAATAAGGTCCTTCTCCACATTACCATTCGGCAAGGACCCTAAAGCATCGCTCCTAACCTGATGGAAGCTTTCCACAAGGGAATAATTAAAATAATCATTTTGATTTACCCCACCATTTACATACCCTTTGTAACTGTCACTGTGGTCGCTTTTGTCATGAGCTCCGTTTTGGTGGTCACTCATGACGTTGCTCGTTTTGTTATCGTCATCGCTTCGGCTCATGGTACAGCTCATTTCGTTTTTGCACACTTCTGCGCCCATGGGCGTCGTGTGTTCTTGCTTTCCTTTCGCCATAGATGCGGTGACTAGATCCTGAGGCACGTCTGCTAGGTCTTCCGTAGTGGGGCAATTATCCTGGTGTGTCTCCTCTCTACCATTTGCAGCTAAATATTTTTTGCAAGTGTAACGGGCATGCACACTCTCCTTGTCCGTTTCCTTTACCCCACCTTGGGTGAGCGACTTAAACCGCATGATTCGAACGCGGTTTGCTATCTCCTCCAGCTGCTCATCATTTGGAATATCATCAATTGCCACAATGTAGTGATCTCTTTGTTGGTATTCCTCCTGGTGTGGCATTGTATGTGTATTAAATGCGACCCCATCATCGCTACCCTCACCGGAGCTGTTTCTTCCCTCCCTAGCATTTGCACAAGAGGCACTCTGTTCTGTATACCCCTTCTCATTACTCACGTCCTCCAGTTCACATGCATGCACATTATTTGCACTGATGGCGGATAGCTCGTATAAATCGTTGTAGCAGTTTAGCTCCTTGCTGGTGTCGTCCTTCGGGTCTACCATCTCCCCGTTCATACACTCACTGCTCGCCTTTACAAACAATGGGTTTTTTAGAAGGACTACATCTTCTTCGTTTGAGTCGTCGAGATTGGTGAGATGGGCAACCCGCCCCTGACCGTCCCGCTGACCCCCCCTTATGTCACAATGCTTGGGGCCGAATTGCGGGTAGGCCACGTTGGATAAGCTGCTCCCTTGTGAAGAAGCCACCCTGCACCCCCTCTCAGGGGAATATTCTGCTCCCCCCTCCAAGCGATTAAATTGCAGCCCACTCAAAAAAGGATAAATGAAAAAATCTTCCTTCAGTTTGTAACGCAGCAGTGAGTTATCATTTGCGGGCACCTCCTCCCTGAGGTTTATTCCGACGAGTACTTGCTTGATGCTTTTTATTATATCTTTGTTGTGAGCAAATTGGGGGTCGTCACAGGGGTCCTCCACTGCTTGCTTGTAATTGTTGTGTGCTTCAAAAAGAGATTCGCCTTTGCTTCTCCCCCAGGGATGTCTCCCCATAGCGGCACCGTGCAAGGCGGTGTTGTTCCCGCGGGTGGCCCTGCTCCCGTAGACGCTTTTCCCCCGGTAGTCCTCATGGTACTGCTTCACAAGCTGCTCCCTCTCTATATTGTCCTCCTCGGTGCAATTATCCAAGTGCACCTCCCACACACTAGGTTCATTTCGGAACCAGTAAAGTGTATATATAAAAACGGACAAGTAGCTGGGGAAAAAATTTGTGTAGAAGTCTTCACATGAATGTAACAATTCGTGAATCAAAAGGAAAGAAAAATAAATTTGCTCATTTTTGTATACATACTTGGCAACGTTTACATTACCGTAGAAAAGGAATCCACTTGCGTTTTTGTGGCCCTGCTCATGTTGGTTCGTGATAATATATATAACTAAACTTAAAAGGGTAAAGATGATAAGGATTATATTGTTCAGCATTAGGGTGTCTTCTCTCCTACTATAGTATTGCAGCTTTATATACCTATTGGTGTAGTAAATAAATTTATTTTTTTTTTTTTCAAATTTGTTCATGTCAATTTTGGAGAATAATAGCTTCACAATTTTGAAGTAGCTCATGTAAAAGTTAAAAAGGGCTTCATTGAATTCTTTCTCGGCTACATTTTCATTAGTACTTCCATGTCCACTGTTGGAATTTCCTTCCTTCTTTCCCTCTGTGTGTTTATTCCTCAGTCGGGAATTTACTTTGCCCTGGTGCTTGTTCCTTTGACAGTAAATGGTATCCTTTGCCCCGTTCTCACTGCCTTTTGTAGATGGCAAAAAATGTCTTCCTTTACTTTTGATGTAAAATATTCCCCTGCCCAATTTGCAGGAAGTTTCTCCGTGGCAGGGAGTACACACTGCGCTGTCGCGGCTGTCGCGGCTGTCGCGGCTGTCGCGGCTACCCAAGTCGACGCTGCCAGATGAGCCCTCCCGCAGGCGCGACAACAAATTGGCCAAGCTCTTCCCCCCGCTCAGGACGCTCTCCATGTACATGACAACGGCGTCCCTGTTCGGAGCAGGCTTAACCGCTATCAAGGAAAGGAAGTAAAAAAAAAGGCACTTGATCGGATTGCCCCCTGTGTACAGGAGAGTCAGCTGATTGAACAGGTGGCCACTGTACCTATAATAGTTTAATGCATTGTAATAATTCAAGCATGCCTTCATTTCATTTTTTTTTTTATTTTCCTCAAAGAAATAACATTTATATCTGTGCAGATCGCCCAGGATTTTAAAAAGGTTGCTGATGCAGATTCGAACGATTTCTAAACCGCTGTGCAGAGTAGTCTCCCTCTCACGTTTCGTGTCATCGCGTTTGTCACCACGTCCGTCACCATGTCGGTCACCATGTCGGTCGTGATGCTTGGCGTAGAAAATGTCAATGACGTTGTTCACATAACAGTCCTTCAAATACGTATCTCCGGTGTACACATCACTCATGGGTACATGTCCGGAGGAGTCACTTCGTCTACCCACCACGCTTTTCATGTGTGAAATATACTCGTCCTTTTTCTCGCCATATATTTTTAATGTGGTGGATAAAATGGCTTGGAAGTAATCACACGCATGGTCTATATTTATGCGCAGAGTTAGAAGGTACTTTACTAGCAGGGGACCGTTGCCTTTTCCACTCTGTAGCTCTCGAACATTTTTTGTTATTTTTTTTATGTTCTGATAAAAGCAGTACAACCATATGTATTTCAACAGCTGAATGGCCTGCGAGTTGTTATGCCGTATGTATTCAAAAAGGATTTCTTCTTTTTTTTTTTTTTTTCTTCTTGGGCCAGTCATGCTATTCTCCGCTGCGCGCGCGTCTTTCACCCTCATTATTGGTCTCTTTCGGGCGTAGCATTAGGCAAGCGCACGCAGGCGTGTGTATGTGTGGGTGGGTGGCTGGGAGGGGAGGTCTCGGTTGGTTGGGTAGCTGTGCGTGCGACTCAGTGCATATACTTATGCGTAACTATATATTTTATAAAGCTGTACTCGGCAACGGGGTTTGCACCTCACGGAGGAACAACTCCCGCGACAAATGCACACGCGGAAAAAAAGAATCCCGTTTTTAACATGTCTGTATGATCGTCATGTGCTGCTCATTTATCTCTTACGTGTACATGTCTCGTGCGCACAACTATCACGCGGAATGCGCTAAAATGGAATATACCCCCTACGCATATTACTGCATTTTCTAAGAAGCCGGCTATAAAACGCCTTTTTCTTTTGTGGGCAACTCCCTCCTAAGGCAGGTAGAGATTTCTACTGTTGAGAGAATAGGGGGAAACTCCTCTACTCAACGCGCATTACCGTTGTGTGGGATACGACTTGCTCCTTTTTTTCTGCATTTGCTGTGCCGGGTAGAGTGTGACATCCTTTGGTGGTCCTATAACGTGTATTATATATATATGTGTGTATACACGTATATACGTTTCACATGGACGCGTGCACGCACCTTTGTGTTCACCCCAACTACTACGTGCGCTTCGAAATGACACCTGGGCGGGTTACTTGATATGCAGGCTTTCGCTTTGTACGGCGGGGGGTTCGCACCGTTAACGCGTTTACAGAGTCCACATTGCGTAATTGCTTTGTCCGCTTCTTAGCAGAGTTCCTAATGTGTCGCTACTGCTGGGGCCACTGCTGAGAGCGCTACCGAGAACGCTGCTGAAAACGCTGCTGGAACATTTTTCTTTTTTTTTTTTGTAACTCTGCCCCTTTGGAAATGCTATTTGAACGATGGGTATATTCCCATGTGCACTGAACAACTAAAAAGGATAAGGGAAAAAAAAAAAAAAAAATATATATATATATCCCTCTTTAACCAAAGAGGAAAGAAAAATACGCAATATATTTTTTGGCGCTATATTTTCTTAGTGTAAATTTAAAGCGATACATGTACATGTACGCACATGTTCTCGTGTACTCGTAGACTTGTGTACATATATAAATGTATAGAAAAAATAAATGCAAAAAAAAAAAAAAAAAAAAAAAAAAACAAGTCTAAAATGGTATTAAAAAAAAAATATATATCTTTGCATAAGGCTTTGTACAATTATATTCCTGCCACTATGTCTATAAATGCAATTTATTATTTTTTCGTTCATTTCATCACACTTTTGTGAAATGTATGCATACGTATATATGTATATTTGCATACGTGTGGAAATACTCTTTTTTTTTTTTTTTTTTGTTTTGGTGAGGGGCTTCCTCCAAGTGTACATTTGTATATTAATAAAAATGCGTACAGTTTAATTTTTTTTTTTTTTTTTTTTTTTTTGAACTAGCCCCATGGCACATTGTGCAATTGCTAATTGTACAAAAAGTACGAATGGCCGAAAAAAGAAAGTTAAGTTTAATTGCATCGTACTCAGTCCAACTACACGGCATTATATGACACTACATAGCGTTACAGCGCGCTACATCGTTTTGCATTCCATTTCGTTCCAATCTTTTCCACACTGGATGTGCGCCAAGTGGCCACGTCGTCTTTATTTTTTCTCAAACGGGCTTTTTTGTCAATCCTTATAAAACCTCACCGCAAATAAAAAGGTTGCACTTTTTTTGTGGATGGCACAGTGTCGACGCGAGGGTTGGCGGCACAAATGAGGACGCACTGCAATGTAGGTTGTGCCCACCACATGCACTTTTGTTTCTTTAAGTGATACATACACGTCCAGATTTGCATGTACATGTGTGCAAAACTTTCCCAATACACTCTTTGCCCTCGTCCATTCAAATGTCAAAATAAATACACACATGGTCCACTCGACGTAACTCCGTTTTGGAGCCGCAACCTCGCACTGCGCATGACAAATTGGGGTTTTACGCAAGATGCTAATTTTTTTTTTTTTACATGCCTGCAAATATATAGTGCAAAATATGCAAATGTGTGGCTACAAAACGAAGGTAATGTTATCTCTACATGCAGTTTTGTTGCACCACAATGGAGGAGGTTAGCGTGCAGATAGAGCCAGTTTTGCATATCTGCGTCCAAAGGGCTTAAAAAAAAAGCACATATACACAAAGGAAAGGTAACACGTGCACAAGTCTTGCGCGCCAGTTGTGCACCTCTTAATGTTATCTTTGAAGCCAACACGGGAAAAAGGACAAACGGGAGGTGGCAGCATGTGTGTGGAAAGAAAATGTCTACGTCTACATGAAAATGTTAATGAGCATATATATATTTATTCATGCTTAAATGAACGTTTTCTCCCCATATCCGTGGGCAGTGAACAGAAGAAATTCACTATAGAATGGCTATTCATAAAAAAAAAAAGTAGCCGTTTTGCCTGACCCGTTCATAAAAAAAAAAAAAAAAAAAAAAAAAAAAAACACCCATTTCGCTTGACCAGTTCATAATTTCCCCCCTTAAGCATGTAGCTACCACCGTTCATACGACATCGGAAATGGATTAATCACAACAGAAAAAGGCCTTTTACTGATCGAGGTAGCGTGTTGGCGCTTTTAAGTATATTCATTCTTATGAGAGCGTCTACGCCAGAACGTATTCGACTATGAATGCTCCATTTTCCACTTCGTTACGCCCTAAAATGGGACAACATGATGTCATACAGATTTTGCAAACAGCCAAATGGTTGTTCTAGCTAAA